CCACTGCTTCATCTTGTAAAGAGCAGAGCTCAAACTTTTCCAAATAAAAAATCTTGCAGTCTGGACTTCTAGAGGCTGACTCCAGACTTCTGGAGATAGCAAATGAATAAAACAAAGCTCCAGAAAGTTGCATTGGTTTTTAGTAGATCATTGGAGCTCTTTCTTTTTGCAACATCAAAGGCAGCCGCAGCTCTTTGATGTGGCAGCATGCTGTTTAAGGTACAGAGTGAATGGAGAGATGTCAAGCTGCAAGGTGCCTCTGTAGTTTACGTTGAGTGCTGCAGAGAGCTGCAGATGAAAGGAGCAAACAGAGTTTGATAATGAATGTCCAACAAGTAGGACCCATCTCAGACAGTGCACGCTCTGCGGGGTGCCTGCGTTAACCTTGAGCTCCGCACCCCAAACTTTCGGGAGGTGCTGGAGACCAGACCACTTCTACTAGTCTACCACTGAAAAAAAGGGGGCTCTTAGAAGTGAGCTTTAATCTTGTTATCAATCAAATCCTAATTGACACACATACCCATACATACATTGTCATGCACACATGCTCCTCTGAAAGAGATGTCATCCACAGCCCCCTGTTGCAAACCTCTCTTTTTTTCTTTGTATACCTCCTGTAATTATGGTCCAATCATTCATCAATCCAAGGCCTGAAAATCAGTGCTTTAGCACTACTTCATTGACCTGTATGTGCCAACCCTGTGTCTCAGTGGAACTGTAGAGCTGGTTGTTCATATACTGTATGACTATACAGCTGTTTTTTTGACCCGCTTGATACAGTGGGTGTTATTGTTTTCTGTGCTTTAACACCATGGAAGTAAACAAAAAGCTCTCATTGCTTGTGTAGATGTATTGTTTGTAATGGTCAATCATCCATACATTTCAGTTAATCAACATAAGCTCATGAGGTTTGAGCTACACTTTCCAAAACCTTTAGTACCTGTTAACACTCTATTGAGCTCAGTCTTAAAGTCCAACCAGAACGATGATAATAATACAGGCCTGGTCTGGCCTGGAGCAATGAAGGGAAGGCCAGCGGGGGAACAATCATGCTTGGGCATGATACTGGGCAACAGGGCGTATAGTGGGAGTGTGCCCTCAGTCAGAGCAACACTATGGCTGCAACTACTACACTAGTCAGGCAGCAAATATCCATATTCAGGAATACAATAAATCAACTTGTTGTGTACCCCAAGTGAGGCATTCATACGTATGGGGGGAGTAGCTTTGACATTTGTCCCCCTCTGTATACCTTTAAGATCTAGCTTTGACCCTAAATGCACTGTTTAAATGAATTACCCAACCATTTCAGAATCCATCCTCATTAATCATTTGACCCAGAATCTCAAACAGCAACTAGCATTACCTCTAATATCCAACTCTAAATACATTTATATATTATATATAGCCATTATATTCATATATAAATATATACATGTATTTTGAATATCATTATATATTTTATTTTTATATAAAAAATAAGTAATTAAGGAATCTAAAATTCCAGTTTGGCCCTGTATAAATCAATCAATCTTTATTCATATTCTTCATACATATGATTCTTCATAAATATTATCTCAAACATGTATTGAATATGTATTTCTTTGCCCAAATAATATGTGAAATCTCCTGTTTTCCAGGAAATATTGATATTTTTGTGCAACTCTTTTTTCTTAAACATTAGCAAGCCTCTGGGCAACAAACAAAGAGGATGATACGTTTTCCTTGGTAATATTTGGATATATTTTTCAAAATTGATCTACAGAAAGATGAAGCACCAACCCTCTCAGATCACTTGTACAGATAACTAATACAAATTCAGATTTATTTAAAAAGTTTTAATCAGTGTATTTTTGTATTTTCTGTGTAATAATGATGGGTATTATACTATACTGCTCTTTGTTTGATACCAAAGTAAATTCACCTGAATTCCATAATATCAATAAATAAATATAAATTGTAGAATAAAATGTTATGTAAGAACTTGTAAACATGTGGAGTTACTTCTTAACTTGTTGCAGATGTGATGTGGGATACAATCCATCAGCACACCTGGCCCGACGCTGAGCTCACTACATGTGCTTTCGATATGTCAAAGAATGACTTGAGCCATGTATTCCATCACTTCAACGAGAAAGATGGATCGAACCCATCCTGAGCTGTACCATTATTTATGATCATACCCTTTAAAACTTGACTTGAGTGGACAATGATTCTGGGCAGCATTTGACAGAAGGACACGAGAGAACTGACTACATATAGGACAAGACAAGAATTTCATGCTCAATAGAGTGCAAGCCAAAAAGTAGACCACAGGCCCAAGATGACCTATCTGTGTATGTGGTGGAGTAAAAGAAAGTACTTATCGGTATGTAATTATCTTCTGTTGAGTGATTTTGAGGACTAATATTTTATCCCACCCTAAGAGACTAATCTAACTTGATAACAGACCAGAAACGTCCTAAATCCCTTGACATTTTAACCTTTTTTTGTCCAAATTATGTGATACTGTCTAACATCTCACTCCCCATCTCATCCAAACTCATTAAATGATGATCTGAGGTTTACAACATGATGAGAATCTATCAAAACAAATATTAAAAGCAGAAAATAATAAGTTCTTTAGCCAACACTTTTTTTATTAAGCTAATGATTTACAGCTCAGGCTTGTGTTTCTTGGCTTGTTTAGGCAGAACAGGTCAAACGATCTCCTCATTAATACTGAGGAAGTTTAAACCGTATAAAAGGATGAAACTAGAGCCACTTAGCTCCTTTGCTTTTCACAAGTTTTATGAATTCTGTTTCAACACAGGACAGAAATACTCAGAGATGTCTTGTGGGATTTTATCACTTTTTTTTATTGACAGTGTCTTACCTTCTTCTTTACCCATCCAAACTTTTCAGGCCCCCCTACTGTGATATGAAAGTTAGAACTCCACGTTAGAGCTTCATGTAGGATGCCTGGCAGAGAGTACTTTGCATTACACCCCCCTTGGGTGAGTCGCCTTTTTCACAAAGAGGAGAAGAAGAAGGGAATAAAGGAAACTCACTGTGAAATCTGCCAATCTGTCTGTGATTACTCTGGCCTTCGTGTGATTGAGGTTTTCATCAATAGGGCTAAAAACAATAAACTAATCAGTAAACTAAACTAAACTAAAACAGTGCTTAATCACTTTTTGTCCAAACAAATATGAGCATTCTTGTCCTTTCAAAAATATTGACAAAAAAGAATGCAAGGGGAGCAAGAGACAAACATACTTATAGCAGGCCAGTTGTAATTGATACACCTTTTCTTGATGAGGTGACATCAGATACATAGCATGGTGGCGAGGCTGCATGTTCCAAGCTGCTACAATAAAACGAGTATGACATGATTATCAAGTTGCTTTTTTATTGGCAACAAAACTCTTCAGGGTACCTGTCCTCCTTCTTCTTGCACCATCCTCCTTATATCACTGGGGGTGCAAGCAGGACAGGAAGTAGTCAACCTATGAGATATAAAAAGGAGCACATATTTGTGCCAAAAAGGAGAATAAAGATTTGTGTCAAAAAGAGGAAGAAAGAAATGTTTCAAAAGGCACAACCATTTCCCTTGCGTCTTGAACAAACCTGGTTGTTGTTTTTTATGCAAGAGTTCCACCATGTGGTTGCATGACCAAACCGCAACCAGTAAAAAAACTCCAACCATAATCTAAAACTAGCTGCCCTCTCCAATGTAATTCTAGCGGCTTTCTAGAATAGATTAGATATTCTTTATATACACAATTGTTCATTCTTTATTTTAACTGAACCTTTATTTTACTGTATACAGTCGACTGTAAGACTGCAAAGAATGTGTAATCTCTGAGCCAGCCAGGCGTACAGGTGATCTACATGGGCGGACCAGTTCAATTTGTTGTCCTCGTATGAATTTATACGAGCACACCTGCTCAATCCCACAGTTGTTAAATATCACAAGGTCATGGGCTCTGACCTCTCTGGGGTCACATTAAAAATAAGGTGACTGATGTCAAACCAGTTCTTGAAAGAGGAGATCTCATTGTGGTAATACACAGCACTGTCAGCACTTTAAAGCTTTAAAGGATAAAATAATAGTGTCATCAGATAATTTGATGATGTAAATATAAGGCTGACTGCTTCTACATTCATCAATGTACAATGTAAAAAGGATAGTTCACACAACCTTGAGGCCCACTGGTGCCACAATGTTTGATGTCGAGAAAGAGCCATTTACCTTTACCTGCTGAGGCCTATATGTTAAAATAGAATAATACCATTTAACAATACAACGAATAACCTGTCGGTAATTTCACTTCTTAATAAGTGTGGTTGAAGTGCTCTTGCCCTGTCTGCATGCAAGCTGGAGGGGGTCCAGGCAGCATGTTAACAATAATTATTTCAAAATGTTTTATGACAACAGATGTTAGATCCACTGGATGTGTCAGATTAACATATCCATCTCAAAAATGTCGAAAATTTCGGCTTCAGAAATGTTGAAAATTTTCATTAAAAAATTTTGGCTTCAAAAATGTTCATACAGCATAGTATACAGGCTTCTCCTTTTATAATCTGAAATGTCTCTTTATGGTTTTCCTGACTGCTGTACCCCTATCCTGATAACTGCTGGCATGGGATGTACAATTGTCATAACATTTTTGCAAACAATTGACATTACTTTTGACAAAAAAGACACTATCTCCTTTGAATACCAGCAACAAACTGTAAAATATAATTTTTGTTCAATAGGGATGTTAACTAACCATTGCATTTTGGTGCCTGTAGGCTTCAGTACAGTGTAAGAGTGATACAGATCAGTCCTGTTGGTGTTTGAGTTTTGTTAACTATTAATTTCATTGGCAAGTAAGGCCCATTGGACCTACTTTATATAAACATTGCTGATTTTTGTGAAGTTTCCATTTTAGGGAGGGACTTTGTGGCAGAAATATTTCTCAGAACAAGTAGCAGAGAGCCTTTCACTTTCGACTGTAGAATGAGGAAGAGGCAAGTCTAAGTGCCTCTGTAATGCCTCTCCCAAACTGACAGATGGAGGGTGGACAGTTCTTGGTTGTGGCGGCTCAAACGTAAGTCATAAACAAACATTGGTGGTACTTTGTGTTATATGGATTTGCAGCTAATTCCTCTTAAATTAATCTTGTGTGTTTGTACCATAGACTTGTTTGTACATATGTTCAATGACTTAATAACATTAAAAAAAAACAGAAAAGCTATGGTGTTAGTAATCATACTTACCCAACTGTATTGGATGATTTAACAAAAATAAGACAGAAACCCCTTGTGACTTGTGGCTGTATAATGACGTGTGTGTTGGCTGGGCGTTTGTGATAAAGGAAAGGAAAATGCTCATGTAGTTGACTGTCCCTGTGTATGCTTGCTGGCAGGAAAAAAGCATGTGTGCTCAGGAGCTTGTGCTGAAACAACGGACACAGATACTGCATGCACTGTGCAGCAGCGGGTCAGCTGAATATCTGGAACGGGTTCTGGACATTCTTTTGGCCCAAGGAGAGCTTATGTGGGAGGACTATCAGAACATACAGGTAACAGGGAGGGAGCTGTACACCAAAGCCAGGCAGTTGCTTGACCTGGTTTATACAAAGGGTGTGGATACCTGCAAGCTCTTCCTTGCCACACTCAAACAGGTCCTACCTGAAGAGCAGGGACTGGGCCTTTCATTTTCGGGATGCTTATTCAAATTAATTGAAAAAGATGAACACAAGAGCATTTCTGCTCAAACTCTTCTGACTGGAAGACCAGTCCTGGTCAGCAAGCTCCAAGGCTGCATTGATGACGCTCTAAAGGCTCTTGTTACATCAGGGCACTTCACCTCAGCAGACTGCAATGAAGTCCAGCTTCCTGTATACACCCCTCTCAACAGGTACAATAATGGCCAACATTCCATAAACATTCTGAACCAAGGTTTTTCACTTCTGATTGTTGGTCTCTACCATTATATCTGTTGTGTAAAATAGGTATTATTGGCTATCAAGGGTATAATAAAGGAAGTGAGGTAGTTCAGGTTTTGTGTTTTAGGATATTAAATTAACTGTCATGTCTGTATTGTTAATACGGAACTACCACCAGCAGCCTGTTAGCTTTGTTTGGCAAAACACTGAAAACAGTATAGCTGGCTTATAGCTCTGTAGAAAGCTAACAAAATTCTTCTGGTAGCTATTCTAAAAGTCCCTATTAAACACTACTAAAGATATTCAGACTGGCCAAGAAATAGTCTCTCACATAAACTCCTGTAAGAGTGTAATGTGTTTTTTAAGATTTTAAATTTGAATGGATTGAACAAAAGAGATACAACCTGGTAATTAGTCATCAATCTTCTCATCTATTTCAATTTTATTTTAATTAGAACCATATTAATGACTCCTATGCCATTCACATGTCAAACAGGCAAGGCGTTTGCTTGACCATGTTAGATCAAAAGGAGAATCAGCTGTGAATGTTCTGCTCCAGTACATTCAGCAAAAACAGGAATTAGGATTGCCTCTGGACCAGGAGAAAAACTCTCCTCCTAAAGGTCAGTATTAAAATAAACTGGAAATGATTTTGGTTTGGTGTTACAGAAGATATAGAACTGCATGTACGTAGCTTATAATTTTGTCCTTTTCAGTTAATCTAATTTGTATTTCTTCTGTTAGAATTTGTTAGATATCAGAAGAAGCTTAGCAGCTCTTTGTCATCACAGTCCTGCTTTCTCAGTACTTATGGAGGGACCAGCCATATGCCTCTGGATGACATCTACACAGAAGGCCAGCTGGAATTAGCTCACTGTGTTGATTTCCATGGACCTTTGGGCCTGGAGGACATTGTTGGAATGGTGGGTACAACGAACGAGGAGGCTGACACGGTGCTTGTGTCTGGAGAGGCAGGTAGTGGGAAGAGCACCTTACTCCAGAGGCTGCACTTGCTTTGGGCTCGGGGGGTAGCCCTCCAGGACTTTCTTCTTCTATTTCCATTCAGTTGCCGTGGTTTAAATTCTGAGCATAGAGAACTTTCTGTCCAAGAATTGTTGTTTCAGCATTGTTGTTGGCCAGACCGGGAGCAGGAGGAGATTTTCCAGTTCATTCAGGATCATCCACATCTTATCCTTTTTACTTTTGATGGCCTGGATGAGCTCAAGCAAAGCTTTTCCGATGAGCACAGGCTCTGCTGCCCCACCCAGCGTGCACCTATTCATATATTATTATTCAACTTAATCCAGGGTTCCCTAATGAAGGGAGTAAGGAAACTGGTAACCAGTCGCCCAGAGGTGGTGGGCCCAGTGTTGAAGAAATATCTCCGCAAAGAGGTCCTCCTGAAAGGTTTTTCACCAAGTGGGATTAACTGTTTTGTGAGGAAGCATCACAATGATCCGACTGTTTCAGCCAAGGTTTTGGCATCCCTACAGACAAACACTGCTTTACTTGGACTGTGTCATAGTCCAGTCCTCTGCTGGATTGTCTCACAGTGCCACAAAGAGCTGCTAGGCTGTGGAGATGGAAGCCCACAAACAATCACAGATGTCTACCTCATGATATTACAGCACTTCCTTCAGCATCAAAGCTCCACGACCATTGGATTTGGTTGGCTTAAGGAACACCAAGAAACAGTCCGTCATTTAGGCCAACTTGCCTTTGAGGGGATTGGAGCCACCTGTTACATCTTCTCAGGTGCAGATTTGGAGACATGTGGTGTAACTGAGAAGGATATCTGCTTGGGCTTTCTCACACAAAGTAAAGGGATGTCATCTGCCCACAGTAAACACTATGAATTCCTTCATGTGACTCTGCAGTGTTTCTTTGCAGCACTTTACATTGTTTTGTCAAATAACATAAACCGTTCAGTTATCCAAAAGCTTTTTGAGTTGAAGGACATGAGGGAGATAGGCAAGCGCAGCGTATGCTTTACAGCCTGTTTGCCGTCCTCTGAGAAACAAGAGCTGGTTTTAGAGGGAGAAACTACTGCAGCTGAAACACCAAATTTGCATATCACAGCCACCTTTGTGTCAGGACTGCTGTCCAGGCGCCATCAAAGCCTGTGGATCCCCTGCTGCCAAAGTTCTGTATTGGAGAAGAAGAGCAGACAGGTGAGGAGATGCCTGTCCAAAGGTATGCAGAAACACTTTAAGTCCATCCCTCAACCTGTAGAAGGAGAGAAGAAGAGCATGCACGCAATGCCAGGCTTCGTCTGGCTTGTCAAATGCATTTATGAAATGCAGGAGAGTAGGATTGCTCAAGATGCCATGAGTAAGCTGGATGTGGATCACTTGAAGCTAACCTACTGTAACATTGGTCCAGTAGAGTGTACTGCACTTGCCTATGTTCTCCAGCATTTAAGGAACCCTGTAGGCCTTCAGCTGGACAACAACTCTGTGGGCGATGTTGGAGTGGAGCAGCTTCTTCCCTGCTTGCACATTTGTAATTCCCTGTAGTGAGTATCAAATGATTATATTCTAGTTACCATCTATCAGTTATAATGAACAAAGCTTAAAATGACCAAGTTTTAAATATAACTCCTAGAAATACAATGCATGCTTGAAAACCTTCTCCTTTTCATTGGTCAGCCTCAGGAATAATAACATCTCAGATGAGGGGATCCGCAAACTAATTGCTAAAGGTATCCAGTGTGAAAACTTCCGGAAGATTGCGTAAGGCCTGTCAATATGATAAAAAGCTCTATTATGAAGTTACAAATGAAATTTGATGGATAACATTTCAGTCATTTTGATTCTTTCCAGGCTCTTCAACAATAAGCTAACTGACGCTTGCACCCAGCACTTTTCTCATCTTCTTAAGACCAAGCAGGATTTCCTTTCCCTGAGGTCAGCACATGCTGTATTTACAGTACTCAGATTTCTCATCTGGAATTTTGATTATTTGTGATATATAATCTGTGTAGTGTTAAAGGAATAACAAATGTACCTCTTCATTATTTTTCAGGCTAGGAAACAATAATATAACAGCACAAGGAGCGAAACAGCTGGCAGAGGGACTAAAAGTCAATCATTCACTGCAGTTTTTAGGGTAAAAGTATTTCTGTAAAATGAAATGCCTCTTATCTGCGGTGGATCTTCTTTTCTAATGCTCTCTTCTTATTCTCAGGCTTTGGGGCAACAAGATAGGAGATACAGGAGCGGAGGCTCTTGCCAAAGCCCTAGAGAGCAGCAAAACTCTGGTGTGGCTGAGGTAATATTTGTTATAAATATAGATAAATGTTTGGTGAACCCAGGATAGAGTAGAAAATGTATGATACAAATATGAAAGTTTTACTACTTTAGTGTCCTACATTAATGGACATTTTGGCTTTAAGAAATAAGTCTTTCTGTGTCTGTATGAACTTTGAACATTGAACTTGAATAAACCTACAATTCTATGCAACTTGCAGCCTGGTTGGAAATGGTGTAGGCAGTGTGGGAGCGTGTGCACTTGCCAACATTATAAAAAACAGTACATCACTAGAAGAGCTTTGGTAGGTGTTGGAAACAAGTGGTTTGCATTGACAATAATTATGCAATTTGTATCACCAAATGGCTTATTAAATGAATGAGAAGGAACAGTTGCATTTTAATTGCTCTGCCTTCTCTCCACTTTTTATAAAAGGTTGACAGAGAACTGCATAACCCGAGCAGGAGTGGAATGTCTGATTGAAGCCCTTGAACATAACACTCGTGTTAAATCGATATGGTATGTGGTGTAAATGAGGCCATGAAATCATAAACACAAAAGTTTGACTGTTTTGTAAGTGGAAAATAAGCTACATGTGACCTTTTTTTGCATGCTGGATGTGTAGCAATGCATGGCACCTGTACTAGTTTCTGTGCAAAGATAACATTTTACTGTTGACACTTCTTCACTTTGTCAGTGGCTGATTACGTTGTTTCCTATTCTGCTGCAGGTTGAGAAACAATGACCTCAGTTTGGAGGAAGTTGAGGAGATGACACGACTTGAACCAAGACTTACCTTCTGAGTGTGTGCTGAGTCAACACAGGGCTTCATGATGCTTTATAGACTGTTGTTATTTATCTCCCTTTTCTGCGTAGATGACCAATTTCACTATTCAGGGTTCACTCAAAGACAAAATCTATCCACTTATTTTTGGGACCAGCTTTTTGGTGGTTCATGCATAATCCCACCAACACCACAACTGTTACTACAACTACTACTGTATCACCATGCTTTCTGATTTCAGAAAGTAATACAATATGTTTTGACAAAAAGTTAAGATTGTATTTATTTGCACAAGAAATAGTGTAGAACACTATGATACATATTTTTGATGTAAATATGAAATGGATTTAGAGCAATTGATCCAATTCTTCTTGTGACTGGGTCGCCAGGTACTGTCATTTCTCAACGAATGAAGAGATAAACATTTATGTAGAGCCACTGTATGTATTAGACAGTTTTTGAGTTTGTGTTGTTTGTTGTGTGTTGTATTGGTTATGTCATATGTTTTATTGTCCTGTGAGTATGAACGTTAAAAACGTGTACATATGTAATCGAGCTAATGTCACATTGTCAAAGAAGGTATGAAGACCCCAAAGAGTAGCTACTGTTTAATACAGAAGCTAATTGGGATCTCAATAAATAAACAAATAAACAAACAACTACTATTACTACTTTAAGAATAACCCAACATTAATTTAAAAAAAACATGAAAAGTGGAATCAATTTAATAGTTTAATTTAGTGCAATTTAAAGATATTTTTACTCTTCTTGAGTATTTCAGATTTTGTAACTTGATAGGGTATCTATTTTTCACAACATACTAGAGGAAAGATAAGATATATTGTGTTGTTACAGTAGTTCAAAGTCAAGGACATATACATATATTTGATAGCTATGATGATCATATACCTCTGGTAAAAAATGAAATCCAAAGCAGATTGTGCCACATGTATTTATTATACATCAACCAGTATGTAAAGCAGGGTACATACGGCTGCCTCAGCCAACTGAAAGATTTAAAAACTTTTTACATAATATGTTTTTTTAACTAAAGAAAAATCCAATAATATAGTCTATAACACATATTGGTTATGACAACCGAAAAGACGCCTATTGATCATATTTGGAGAACTGGGTCTACAAACTTTAGGTTCTCTTATGAAAAGAATTGTAAAAATACTTATTTTGATTTTTTTTATAATGGATTTTTTTGATGTTGCTTATAATTAATAATTAATATAAATTATTACCTTAAGTAAATCATTCCCTGAATGCTGCACTTCAACCAAACTATGCGTACTGCATAGATATCTGCCATTCATGGGAAAGCCCCACGGGATGGGGACTTGGTGACAAACACAGTGAACAGCCAATCACAGCTTGAGAAGAAAGAGCCGGACCAATGCCTAACGCAGAGTATTATTACGTCATACATTTACTTCCGTGAGGTCGTCTCCTGTAAATAATATAGATCTCATAACTGTAGCGATACACTGAATTTTTTCAGGTATTTTCCTCGGAGAAATAATTTCTATAAATGCTGATAGTTCACTGAAGAGGATGGCAGTCCTCTGCCAGCCTGCGGCTATCGTTCAGCTCGTCAGGCTAACTTAAGCGTGATACTGGCTGGTTTGGACGCTAGCATTAGCTAGCCATTTAGCTAATCAGAGGTTAATACGGGAGGAACTAAGCTTGTATTCAGAGGCCTGGGTCCAATTGAGATGGATATTTGAAATGACAGTCACTCGTGGCCTCTCCCTGAATTGACGCTTATCAAAGGTAAGGTGTTTATGTCGGAGGTATTTAACGTGTACGACTATTTGTTTTGTTTTAGCTGACGGTACGTTAGCTACTTCCCTCCCTTAAAGGGCCTGTGACTGACAGCTCGTGCCTGGTGATGACACCCCGCTGCTGTGGTTGTCAGGGAAATGTTACTGATAACCAGTAATAATGTTACTGATAACGAGTAATAATGTTACTGATAACGAGTAATAATGTTACTGATAACGAGTAATAATGTTAGTGTCAGCGATTTAAACAAAGCTGTAACAATGTGTGTGGTCGTTCCCATAAAGAACATGTGATGTATGTCAGATCAGATGGTTCATGCTTTTCATTTTCTGTTATTTCTCAGCCGGCTTGAGCTAATGTCAAAAAGATCCTGCGATTATGCTTTTACACTGACAGTGTTGAAATCAGAAATACCCACAGAGGTAATCTTAGAACAGCCTCTTCGGTTGAAGTAAATGATGAATTTGGCGTGAACGTGCTCTTGACTGTGCTGGTGTGCTTGATCATCATCAAATCTGAGGTGTCATCAGGGGAAATCCAAAAGTCTCCTATCTGATTCTTTCAGTCAGCTGCCTGCTCAACATCTATTTATAGAATATTCAAATCAAGTAAATAAGCATATTGTCTCATGACGAGGTCCTGCACAGGGGGGCTGCACAGGGATGACTGGGCAGAAGAGAGGGGGACTAAACAAAGCTGAGCTATTAGATTTCACGCCACCAACAAGCACACTTCAGTAATCAGACTGATAAGATGTGAAGTTGCTTTGCTGTATTCATCTGATTTTCCCACATCAGATTGTCACCTTAATGAAATCAAACGCTGTCTTACCAAATATTCTATCATGCTATGCAGTTTCTTATTTGAATATGGCTCTTTGGAAATCCCTTTACAACTGATTAATGAAATTATCTCCAATTGTTTAGGCCAGTGTCTACTTTTAGACAGAACAGACATGTAGTGTGCTGACTTGTTACTTGCTTTCAATCTGGATATGAGTGAGATATGCACTTGCCCTGATGAAATTCTGTATTTTTTTTTCACCAATGGGCTTCAGAGCTACCATAAATCTGTATTTGAATTTTGCGTGATTAATTATTTTATTTATTGATGGACTTTTGTTCTTTTTCAAACCACTGATACTTCAGCTGCAACAATAACAGCAACAACCATAATTCAATGTGAATGTTTCTTATTGCCCTTTTTCATTTTTTAATGCTTGCCATATGTTATTGTCTCCACAGACCAGAGGTCAAGCCCGTCTTGATGTTGGACCTCCTGCCTAGCATGCAGCCATGAGCTCTGTTCTGTGGAGCCAGGAGAAGCCCAGTGGGGGATTCAGGGAGGACTGGCGCTTCTATATGGTCATAAAGGAGTGTACAGTGGAGAAGCCTCCCCAGAAGACCCTCAGGATCCCCCGTGGTAGTCTTGGTCAGGCCTGCCAGGAACGTAACAGTCTGGGACGAACATTACCCCCCTGCAAGGGTAAGAAGAGTCTACGCATCCTGGACCAGACCAACGTAGTGCTGAGCCTGGATGAGCGGGACGTCCTGGAGCTGGATGAGAAACTGGCTGAGCTGCTGTTCCCCATCACCAACTGTGAGGAGCGATACGCCCTGCTCTGCAACAAATCACGACTAGAGCGCGTCAGTGATATTGACTGTGGTTCCAAGGTGCGCGTGCAGCTGCGCTCAGGGGATGAACCTTTACCTGGTGTGGTCCGCTTCAAAGGCTCACTGCTCCCTGACAGAGCCCTGTCTGGAATCTGGTTTGGAGTCGAGCTGCTGGTGAGAACTTCTGTGCTTCTTTCTTTCTTTCTTTATTTCATTGAGAGAGTTACATGGTTAGTTTGATAATTGCAGGAGTCATAATAAACGTCATATAAGAAAGGACACTTTGTCCTACGTGGTTTGTACATGTTACTTTCAGTTCACTGAAACCACAAACAGGTTCTTCAGCGCATTCTGAAACCAAGTGATGATGCTTGAACTAAGTCACATTTCTCAATTGTACCGAAATCATTTAAATTGAGCAGACCAACAGTCCATAAATAAAAACATACTACACTTGTGGTCTCTTATCAGTTAGGACAAGAAATACTACTATGTCTGCTACCATTGGCCGTAATAAGTGAAAGCTCTCATGGCAGTTAAAATGAAAGTAAATATTTGTGCTGAAATACAAATACTTTTCCAGATCCTGACTGTTAACAAATAAACATGTCTTGCCTGTTCAAGTAAGCCTTTTTGCTTTCTGTTGTTGAGCTACCATCTTGACTGTTTTGAGCTGTTTCTGCAAAGCAAAAGGCGTTTCTTCCAAAGCTGGGAGAAAAGTTCTGTTTTTGTTTCCCCCACAAACTTTTATTTTATAGTCAATTTCTGTCTTTCCCTCAAATTTGTAAGATAGAGCCTGTGAACTAAAGTTTGTTTATGAAAGGCTTAAACAAAGCTGCCATGTTTGCCTCGAGGTAAACGATGAGATAGATAATTACAATATTTAAACTTCTGTCTTAGCTGTTTCTTCAATCACAATGATTCATCTTATTATTCATCAGGCCATTTATGATGCACTCTGTGTACAGTACGGTATAATGGGTTGGTTATTGCAGAACAATGATTTTATTCTACTGAGTCCAGCTGTTGTCTTCTTGAGTAGGTGGATGGAGCTCAAATATTCAGTCTGATTTATGTCCTTTACCAAATAAAGATTTCAGTTTTTTTGCTACTAGATGCCAGTAATATTATAGAAGTACTTCAATTTAACCCTTTTTAAAAAAAATCAAAGTGCGTGAGATAGAACAACAAAAACATGTTTCAGACTCTCAGTATTGTTTGTTAGAGTACATTAGTACAACAGTATCTGTACTTACACATTTGAAGGAATGTATTTATCATCGCGCTTAGTCAAGTCTAATATCTGCTGCAGTAATGGATCAAATGCTCTCACAGCTCTATGAGGTTCACTTCCCTCCTCTGATGAATGCTGAACAAGCAGCCTGGCTACATGCCCTATTTGTTATGACAATAAGTTGCCCATCCCTTCTCTTCTATTCTGACTCACTCTCTACACTCCTCTTTTCATATTCCCTTTACTTCGTCCCACCAGGAGGAAGGTCGAGGCCAGGGCTTCACTGAGGGCTCCTACCAGGGGCGCCAACTTTTTCGCTGTGAGGAAGAGTGCGGCGTGTTCGTGGCCCTGGACAAACTTGAACTCTGGGAGGATGAAGATGACGAAGCCTTAGGCGAGTTGGAGGTGGACCACGTTAATTTGGTGGAAGATGACCAGGACTACCCTCCTTTGGAAATCAACTCCAGGGTCCTTGTACAGACCAGGGACGGACCAGAGAGAGGCACCATCATTTATTGTGACCTGCTGCCGGGAAATGAGAGCCTGGGCTACTATGTGGGAGTCGACATGGTAGGGTCTAAAGGGCTACATTTATTGTACCCACCACTGTATTGCTAGACACGTGCAATCCTGAACTGATTTGTTGATTCATTTATAAGTTAATTGACGAAAAAGAAGCAACAATCCAACACTCTCGACTTACTTTTCTATTTCATAAGATCATAACTTGAGGACCTCTTGGTTTTTCAAGGTATATCATACAGATTAGACAGTTAATAAAGCTATTGTTTAAACAATCTACAGATTAATTGACTGCAAGAAAACTACATCCAAAAGCACAGAATTTAGGACCATCTGCTGCTCTCAGTCATTTGAACAGAAAGATATAAGTCATCTTTCTCTCCAAAAATTGGACTTGTCCAACTTTTTTTGGAATGTGATTCCCTGCCATGGATAAGATGAGAAGGTTGATACAATTTCTCTATGTCTAAGTGTTAAATATTAAAAAAAAGCTTTGGTGAGCTGCTGGCTTTTCTTATTTCTAATCTTAGCATAAAGAAACAGAGAAACAGCTAGCATGGCTCTATCTAAAGGTAACACTAGCATCTGTAAATCTCACTAGTTAATCTGTTGTATCTTGTTGGTTTTATCCGGGCACAACCTGAAGTTTAAAAATAACAAATTGCTGTTTATGTGGAGCACTTTTTCTCGGTAGGGATCAGTAACCTCCTGGAGCCTCTGCAGCTTGCTGCTGAGTTGTCCTACAGCTCTTAATAAACATTGGCCACCTATTTAGTGTGTGGAGGCATTAAAACACAGTACAGATGACCACAGATATCAGGAAATTGAATGGAGGTGCAATTATTGGCCATCACTTAGGAGAGTAAATGGCACTAAATGTAGCCCAGTCATAGGCTGGGGCTGTTTCCTCGTGTAGTCAGGAAGAAAACCTTTTCTTTGATCAAAATTAAACATTTTTAGAGACACTGTTGTTATTACATCACAAGTACATGCATGTGTCAAGCCCAAAATACCTAATGATTTCATCACATGTTGGCTGGGATGTACAGTTTTGTTATTTGCCAAATAAGAAGTGGGTGAGAGGGGCGATTTAGCAAATCTGAGAAGGTGCTTCACTGTCTAGAGAAGTCACCAAAAACAACATGGATTGTTGCTTCTTTTTAAAATTAAGCTAGCTTAAAGGTGCATTATGTAGTTTTGGTGGAGAAATTTGAAAGTTGGAGAAGTGTACAAATTCAGTGGTATGTTCTTAACTCAATGCACAATGTCCTCTGAGTAAAATTTGGTCCCTGTAACACTGTTTGTAGATAAAAATGCTACGCGAGAAGTTATGGTGGAGGGCCACAGTGAAACCGTAATTTTCCTGGTAGATTTTAAGCACTATACAGTGTTTCAGGGACACAATTTTTCTTTAGTAAAGTTTGTGTATTCAGTTCAGAAAATATAGCATAGAATTGTTTCACTTCTCCAACTTTCAAATTTCACCACCAAACCTCCATAGTTCTCCCTTTAAAGTAGATGAAATCTATCTGTGCCCGACCATTTAGTTTCAGTGCTTTGGGTACCAGTTCCCTGGCTAAGGATCTATTACAATGCAAAGGAAAATATCTTCTGTTTAGTAAAGTCAGCCCAATTCCTAATTGGTGTTTAATACCATCAGATTTTCAGTATTTTGATTTGCAGTCGATGTGAGTTTCAGATGAGATGGCTGCTTTTAATGAAGTGAGATGATATGTGCATAGGGACGCTCCGCTTCTGTAGAGGGCAGCAATGTGCAGAAAGTTAGACATTTCCGTTTTTATGTCACATTTCCAGAGTACTTGTCTCAGGTTTTAATCAAGACTAGCATGTGTTTTTGTTTTTCTTCCTCCCTCAGTCTGTATGAGGAAAAAAAGTCTTGTTGCCTGGGATCACTTTTGCTTGTATCTATGACTACTGTTGTCAGGCGGGAGTTGTATTGTAGTCTATTGTAGAGAGAGATGGAAACACATAACTGAGGCATTTGACTGCTGATCGTTAGCAGCAGCACCAACAGCAGCAGCAGCACCCACTCTGTGCATCTGAGCCACCCACACAAAGGCAAGGCAGTCACGCGGGGAGTGAGGTAAAGACTTAGCGCTGTATGACCCAACAGCGTGGCAAGGGTCCAGCAAGCAGCTGAGGGGAGCCCACTGCTCTGCCTCACTCTGCGTCCAGCCTCGCCCTGCCTTCTCTAGCTAGTGGCAGTGGCTACACACTTATCTCAGATTATCCTGCCTGGGCAGAAATCCTGAATTCAAACGAAAAAAGAATAGTGTGGTTGTCTCACACAGAATGTAGAGCTTTCAGGGGGAATGATTGGAGATGGAAGATCTGTGGTTTATCTAAAGAAGATGAGCTGAGCAGTTTGGATTCAGATGAGACACAAAACAGAGGTTTAGGCTTAAACATCATTTTAAGAAAAAGCTAATCGACAATCCTCAAGAAGAGAGAAGAAAAAGAAAACGTTGTGACCACCTTAATCACTTTCTCAGAGATGAACAACACCTGGAAGGTTCCTAAGGTTCTCATGTGTCCAACTCTTTCAGGACAATCCTATCGGGGACTGGGATGGTGTGTTCGATGGGAAGTTGCTGTGTAATTTTGCCAGTTTGGAGCACACCCGACTCGTCCCCATCTGTGACATAATGCCAGGTGAGTCAGCTAGTATGTGTGTTTGCTAAAAATGTTTAGCTGTCCCTCTCGGAGCAGCTCTGAGCTCTTTCTGGGCGTCCCGAGTTTGTGTTTTGCTTGCAGCGGGAAACAGAGAGCCTTTTGTGTCAATGGCTCACTTGTTTTTGAAAGTCAAGTGACATACTCAGGCTCTTTGTTCTCAACATTGGCAAATTGATTTGTTTGTGTGTGCCACTGCTGCCACTTACTATTCAGCATGCATCTGGAATATGTGGAACATTGGGAATATTGTCATTTTCAGATTTGTCGTTTCTCATAAAAGGAAACATGAGCATACATTGTGGCATAGTGGAGCTACTTTATCCGTCACAAAACTAAACCAAGTTATTCATCATTTCCTAATTTGTCATGCTTGTGATGTTGCACCCTTGTGTGGAAAGTGATATCAAATAGAGTTAACAATTTAAGGTTGGTTAACTAGCTATTAAATTCAGTATCAAACTGTATGCCTTGAAATGTCTTATTCTGTTAAACCTCGTGGGAAAGAAATTATAAATCATACTGACGGAGAGTCAATTTTCAGCATGCATTGAAAGTGGGTTGTGGAAGACATTTAGCGCTTGTTACTTTAAAATGCAAAAAGGGGTGTTGTGCCTCTAACGTGGATGTATTTCTGGGCTGTGCAGAGCTTTCGATGCAGGACCAAAGGCTGCAAAAGCACAGTTTTGCCCCCAGAGCTACCAGCAGTGACAAGTCGTCCTCTGGCCAAAGCAAACCAAAGAGCAAAGGTACTGCACTGCTGCCATGATACAAACCGTGTGGTGAGGATGATTCTTAAAGGGGGCCTTCCATCCAAATTGTCTGATAGTGGTTCTGGTTTCACTATATCTAATTCTACAGTTCTAGCTGTTGCTGGGGTCATTTCCTGAAACAAAACTTTTGTTTGTTTTCGAGAGCCCCCGAGTGAACCAGCTCAGGTCAAGCTCGTAGTGATTTTGGCAGTCAAATTGATGAGTTAAACTCTGTTGGTGGAAAGCCCCTTTACAAAGATAATAATAACAACAGAGGTTATGTTTTATTCCTTTCACAGCTGCATTGATTCAATGTAAATGGAATATGTTGTTGGTACTCTGAATTCTTTTATGTCTTTAAGTTTTTCAATGAGACTACTATTGCGTATCATTTGAGCTTGTACTTATCATTTGTTCCCTTTTAGTCCTCACTTGGTCTGTTGGTGAAATAAGGGACAAAACATGCACACACGCACACATTCTGCTTATCTCTCTGTTTTTTTTTCATGTATTTTGTTATTTCCAGGACTAGATCATCAGTGCGGCAGTAGAAGCAAGTCTGACTTTTACTATACTTTAAATGGCAGCTCTGTTGACCCCCCAGCCCAGTCCAAATCCAAAAGCACATGGTACATTGATGAAGGTAAAACGCGGGTAATTACGGGATGTCAACCATCTTACCGGCAAGCTCCTGTCTACAACAAGCCACACACTAATCTGTTTTGCTAAGGCACACTTTTATAGGGGCTGTATAGTTTTTATTTACTGACATTGGCAGGATCAGGGGTTCTGTTCCCTCTTGGCCAGCTTTTTACACTATGGTACTGTGGGTTTCTCCTCTGAAGGTAACATACAATCAAGTTTGGGGAGCCCAAATTTTATACATTAACTCATGTATGAGAACACATTTCTCCCACCTGTGAAAAGTCACAAATGTCATGTTAGTTATAAAATGTTAAAACAGACGTGACATGAAGTGTCTTATTATTACGACACACGAGTGTTATCCTCTAACTGATAAACTAGTTACATCACATTAGTTCTACTGTGATTCTAATCTATTATAAGGTATCATTATGAGGCACAATATTTCATAGTTGTATGAAGTCGTTTCATCTACTGCTGTTATTTGTCCAGTAGTACATCAGGGAGTTTTCTAATATGATTTTAGAAACCACTGAACAGAGCTTTGATGCTGAAACAGCAGCATTCAGCTGTCTTCACCACGCTGGCTAATATAAGAAATAGCACCAACACAACTGATCTGATCCTTGAACAGAAATAGTTTCCAGCAAGTTACACGGGAGTTCAAGTGTAGATGTATATTAGACTAAAGCAGGGATTCTTTATGACTTGCTCCCTTCAAAGTATTGTGTGTTTTTCATTGTGAAACAGGCCATCTTAAACTTGTGTGGATGTAATGGATGTAAAGCTCATCACATACACAACATAGGTGTTTACACTTTGTTTATAGAAAGTGTGTGATTTGTTTTTCTTCTTCTGTAGGTGTGTAATATAAAAATAGACCATGACAAAAACAGAAGGGATTAGCTTCTATCACAGTTGGTGTTTTCGATACATTTGTGTTGGTGGAATGTATTTTTTATTTAATATAGATCACAAAAAAGCTTAAAAAAAAAAAACCCCATTGTGAATCTGTTTATCACGATTCTGATATTGTGCCTCATAATTAAAATACACTTAAATAAATCCAGATTTTTTTTGCAATTAAACTTTTTTGTCTTCCTTTTTTCAAGAAGTTAGAGAGAAATTGACTTCTAATCTAAATACATTTTCTGTTTTTAGAAATTCAGCTGTAGTTCCAGTATTCAGGGACAAAAAGCCCCTTAAATTCTGCATTAAGAGGACGACACAATTAGTTGTCATTCTGTAGACTTCAGTAGAAATGTGGCTCAAACATGTTGTGCAGACAAAGAAACTTCTGTGGTTTGTTGCAGTAGCTTGCTGTAAAGACCTCTCCACTATTCTCGTCCTTCATCACCATTTTAGTGTCAAATTCCACCTGCATGGACTCGTTGGTGTCGCCCTAAGGCTTTTAATAATGCTCAGTGCTGCAAATAACATCTTACCTGGCTATTGTCAATTCACGGCTGCACACACAGTTAATGCAACAGATGCATACTGTGGAATACAATTTGCAGGGCAAAGCTTTAGTAAAAGCCTTTTTTTGTCAGGACTGATTGATTCAGTCAGCACATGGGCTCATTGTTTTGTATTTCTTCTTTTGGGACACAAGCTTATTTCTTTTTTTATTAGAGAAGTGACATGCACATAACATCACCAATACAAGTCAGTTGTGAAGCATTTATTGGTCTTATAAATCCTATTACAACCATTTTGTTCCTTCTTTATATTAATGCATTATTCTGTTAATGATCACACTTGAAATAATGTTTAATTTGTAACCACGACTAGCATGGTCAAGCTTTGAAATTTAGATTATACTAGTTAAACCTGATTGTTTGAATGACTGCAATAGTATTTCAGAATTCATGCAGACATTAAGAGAGGTCAGTTGTAAAAGGCTGACAGCTTATTCACAACTGCGTACTCATCCTGTGAATGTGTAATCATTTTTATGTTTCTCAGGGCCACTTTCCACTTTGTGTTTTTTTTCTTTTTTTCTATTACGGTGGTTTTGTTTCTGTCGCAACGCCATCAAAACTCCTGACTCCAAACGCCTCCAGTTCTCTCAGTTTAGGTGGAGTTCAAGTGTGATTAATACACTTAAAGGTGAATGCCACCTTTTTAAGAATTCACCCTGTCTTTCCTAAGCTCTTTAAAGCTAGGAGTTGCACGATTAATAACAACAGGATATGAGAATTGAAAGATTCATTTATAATTTGTGTTGAAATTCACAAAATATAATGAAAAATATGTGTTCCTGAAAAAAAAATGTTGTGAGGTTGATGTCTATTTACTAAAAGATTCAATATGTTGTCTGTAATCTCACATGAATAGAAGCAGGAAAGCATTCCCCTGACTGTGTCTGGTTACAGTCTGACCTGTCACTTCTGTAAAGGCTGAATTGTAAAGTTCCAGTTTTCCGCTTTTTATTTTTATTTTTATTTTTTTAACCTTTATTTATCCATGAAAGTCCCATTGAGATTAAAAACCTGTTTTTCAAGGGAGTCCTGGTTTTAATGTTTCTCTGCTCCTGAAACCTTCACAGTAATGTGAAACCTCTTCAGAATTTGAATGGCAGTGACATCCTAAAATGATTAGCCTTAGCAAAGAGTGTTCACCATGATACACAGTATTCTTGTGTGAATTCTTAGATGGGTGGCACCCCCCTTTAACGAACACATGATTTATAAGGAGGTATTTAGAGTTTTGAAATGTGTTTTTTTTTTTGTCAACTCAGCACCTGTGGTCTGTGACTGATGAAATCTCTGAAAATGGTTAATTTGATTCTGTAGATAAACTAAATGAAGTGTTCATGGTTAATACCGGAAAGTTGTTTTATCTCATACCTTTTAGTGAAGTTGATCACAAAACAAATCAGATGGAAAAGAAATCTGAACACTCGTTTCTCAAATCAGTGCATTCAGACCTTTGACCCCAAAACTTGAATTGGGTGGTGACTTTTTTTCTCCTTCCTCATTATTATTGTTATTATTATTATTGTTATTTTTGCATTTAAGTGCTCTGGAATCATTTTTTTAGCAATTTGACACCAATACACACTCTATTCTAATACCGTGCTGTACCTTCAAGTAGGCCCCTGATCTAAATCATGGACCAGTCCCTCCAACATGATAAGCAGGGGAGTTTTTTTTTTTTTTAAATACATTAACATTGTAGAGACGACTGCTTTTCATTTTCTACATATTGTTAAGCCTCAGAAAAGTTTCAAATGTCAGCTGTTGTCACATTACAGTCACAATGTGCCAGATATGAAGTATACCCAGAAAAAGGTTTTTTTTCAGTGTATTGGAAAGAAAATTATGACAAATGCACATTAGTCTTTACTACCAATAATACTCAAATGCAGGGCTTTCAGACTGCCAAAAATACCTTGACCTTCTGATGTCATTGAAGTAAAATGGCTTAAACAGCTTCACTAATTTAGATGATGAGTACTGTCTACCTTTTCTAAGCCATTGTGCAGGTTCCTTTCTTTCCTCCCTTCTTTTCTTGCCTCCAGTGTTTGAAGTGCTCACATTGCACAGGAAATTCAGTTTGGTGTTAATTCACTCTTATACACTGATATCTCTGTAATAAAGACAGCATGCGTAATATGATTGTAAAAATTGGATCTTGAATTATGTTTTGTTTTTTTCTGGCTTCTCTCCTGCAGTTGGGGAGGACCCCGCAAAGTCCCTTACTGACACGCCCCCTGACTTCAACCAATCCTCCCCACCCTCCAGAGCCCCGCCCCCTGCCTCGTTGTCCAGTGACAACAAGTTCCACTCTTTGCCGTTCAGCCTGAACCGAAAGCCCGGGCCCATCGACAGCATGAGTCATGGGCCCCTCTCTCTCTCAGTCCAGTCGGTGATGGGAGAGCAGCCTGAGCCCTCGTCACCTGCTGCTCCTCTCTCACCACAGCCTCCCACGCCTCCTCGTGGACAGCCTGGCCTTGAGGTGGGCTCACTGGTAGAGGTAAAGGAGAACCCCCCTCTGTGTGGAGTCATTCGCTGGGTCGGTCTACCTCCTGGCCTGCTGGAGCCTTTGGCGGGGCTGGAGCTGGTGAGAAAACACAGCAACGTCATTTAGGTTACATTATGAGTTACAGAGGAAAAAAAAAAAAAATCCTCTATCAACACAAGCTCATCCACACATAAGTTGTCTCACCCCCCTTGCTTAAAGCTACTGTGAGGAAGTTTAATTTCATGTTGTGTTTTGCATGTGGTTCATCTAATCTCGTTCATCTTGTCCTGTAGGTTCTTGTTCTTGTTTTCACAGTGAACACATTGTTCACTGTGAATCTTATAGTGAAAATTAGCAAAGAGCAACAGTTATGGGCATTAAAATGAACATAAAAATAATCCATCTTCTTACTGAGACATCAGTATTCATTTCAGTATGTTTCATAACCAATTTCAAACAGGAGCTTTAAATGGCTTTATAGGAAATTATCATTGATGAATAGTTTATTATTCTGCTAACATGTTTCTGTGTTGGTTAAAACAAATTCATAAGCAAATTTTCTTATTGACATTCATGCTGAAAGTCAGACATCAATATCTGAACCACTTTCACTGAGGTCAGTAATTTATGCTTTATATAAAGACTTGGTTAAGTTGGGTCAGTGAGCCTGGCTTTTTCCATTTGTAATAAAAATGTCCCTGTAGCTAAATAAAAACACAAATGTAAATCTTTGAATAACAGTTGTTTTCACCGGAGATTTTCTGCCGTAGTGTTTTCTAACATGGCACTGTCACACCCTGGTTTCTCTTCTTGTTTCCTAGCAACCTCATAGTGAAGATAAGATATGAGGAAGTCACTTTGACCACCAAAAAACCATTTCATGTGTTAAGAAAATGTTGAACTTTTCCTTTAAAACATAACCCCATCATTGTATTTTTAATATCAATTGCTTGTTTGAACATGAAGCAGTGTTAGTAGAAGGTCTGACAAATAATGAAGAAAGAAAGTTAAATATCTACTAAGTCAGGTTTAAGTACAAGAACAGGTCAAATAATTTTTGTACAAACATGCAGTACTGGACAATCATTCTATTATACCATTTGACTCTCTTTCAGGAGGAAGAGTGCCCTGGTTGCACTGACGGCACCTTTAAAGGTACTCGATACTTCACCTGCCCACCCAAAAAAGCTCTGTTTGTGAAGCTCAAGTGCTGCCGGCCTGACTCCCGCTTTCCGTCCCTGCATCACTCGTCCAACCCCATTGAACGATGCAACTCCATCGGTGAGTCAGAAGAAGGAAGGATTTATTACAGTAACAAAAATCACCATTGTCTCAACGACTTTGTGTTAGTGCTTTTTCTGTTGGTGTTTTCACAGCTTTTGGGGGTTACCTTAGTGAGGTAGTACATGAAAACACTCCTCCCCGCACAGAAAATGACGGTCTGGATGTCATGGTGGGAAAGAAGAAAGGCATCCAGGGTCATTACAACTCCTGCTACTTGGATTCCACCCTCTTCTGGTGGGTACTCTTTTAGTCTTAGTTGCAGTTTATGCTATGTTTGATTAACTTTAGACTTTAGTTACATTGATTGGCTGCATGGGGCTTCCTCAGCGAGCAGCGCTGTGTTTGCCCAGAGGCAGAAGCTTGTTAGTAAACTGTTGTGACTTTGCCCACTGGCAGGTTGTACTCCTGCCGTGAGCAGGCTGGTGGATAGTGGATCTATTGTTTCTGCCAACTCTGCCAAAGGGCCATTAAAAAAACAACTTTACTTCTCTAAAGAACAGTAAACGCTTTGATTACAGTTTGATCAGTGTGGAGTTTTACAATTTGGTTTAAATTTACCTTTAAAAAATATTGTATTAAAAAAAAGTATTCAACAGAAAATCCAGGCCAAGGGCTTTCCATTGAAAAAATTGTCTTAATTAACTACACAAAGAACACAAATGCAACTTCAAAAAGTTCATGACGTGAAGAAAAGACACATGATGACACATCCTAATGGTATTCCCCTGATTGTATTCTCTGTTCTGCAGTCTTTTCTCCTTCAGCTCTGTACTGGACACGGTTTTACTGAGACCCCGCTCAAAGACTGATGTGGAGTATTACAGAGAGACCCAAGAGCTGTTACGCACCGAGATAGTCAACCCACTGCGCATGTAAGTCAGACAGGTTTCACTTCACACAGTGCAGCCATCTCTTGGCTTATCACATTTATTCATATTGTCAGGTTTTAACCCAGTGATATCATCACCTTTACAGAAAGCTCAAAGCTTTTCACAATGCATGTTCTTTTTCAAGTTTGAATAGGAGCTAAAACATGGTTTGGCTACAGATCATTAAAAATCAGACCCAGCATACCATAATCTGAGTTCATAATTCACTTCCTTAAACCCTGAATGTAGCATAAGACATGTATTTATTTTCTTCTTCTTTGTCCTGTAGACATGGGTATGTTTGTGCCACCAAAGTGATGAAGTTAAGGAGAATACTGGAGAAAGTAGAAGCTGCCTCTGGATTTACCTCTGAAGAAAAAGGTAGGATAATGAGAGGGATAAACTATTTGTCTTTCAACAATGACTTGTAAATGTTTGACTGTTCTCAGTTTTGACTTTTTTTTTAAACCTTTTTTTCTATTCCACATCGTCTCAACGTATCTAATTTTTTGAAGTGAGAGTTATTGATTTTTTAAGTTAAACATTTTAAGTACACAACCAAGTCTATAGGAAGTGTGAAGTATTACTGTATGTGCCACTGCAAGTCATGAAAAACAAAAGGAATCAGCAACTTGAAGATGTTTTACACATTGTTGCTATGAACTTTACTGCAGTTATTGTGTCTGTGTGTGATTATCATTCATGATGAAAAGCTACCTCCCATCTCATGGACGCACATTTGTTATGCAGATCCTGAGGAGTTCCTTAATATCCTTTTTCATCACATTCTAAGGGTGGACCCTTTGCTCAAGCTAAGGTGAGTCATAACTCACCTGCATCTGTGGCTTCATCTAAGGAGATATAAGCGCACCATTGTTTGTACTGAAACTGTAACATTGACATCTTGTGATTTTCTAGTAGCTTTTCTTTGCCGAGCAGAAGATGTGGCTGGAATAGTTAGAGTTATTACTTTACCTTCACAAACCTCAAGCATGACATGTGGGTGTGATTTATCGGTACATGTCTCTTATTGATTTGTTTACCAGACAACGGAAATGTGACTCAAAGCACATGACTATTGAACTTCAAATTGTATCCGACCTTCTCTAAATCTGCAACATGTAGATTGGCACAGACACACCAGGTTTCACTTCTGCAACAGTGCTTACATTTGAGATGTAATGGTAGATAGTGTGGTTGAACTGTCAAGTTTTTTGGTCACATTATAAAACTCCCCCTCTCGTCATGTTTAAGGACCTTTGGTTCATCAGTGAGTAGAATTAAAGATTCTGACAGCTAGTTGTCATCATTCAGTTTACTTTTTGTATTATGTAGCAGTTTGTTTTCCATAGTAGCTCTATAGTTAAAAAAAAAAAGACATATTCTGTTATTCACACTGAAACAAAGCATTAATGGAGTCTTTAAACCTTGACATATAACATGACTAATCTGAAACATGAAGCTAGCTCAGAGATGAAAAACTACAACATTGTTGAATCTGTCTTTAAACTTAAACAGGGACACGATACATATGTTCAGAAAGTGTTTAATTTAAACGTTTATTTTAAACTGTCTGATGATCAGTCTGCTTTATACTGCTTTTATAACACAAGCTTTTGAGAAACTTGTTAACAATTACCAGCACATTTAATGAATCCCTCCTGATGTCTATATTTTATTAAAAGCCCTTGTTAGGTATTGATTTATAAATTACTTTAGTACTAAAGGGGCTCCTTCAAATACAATAGTTAAAGTCACAGTCAGAGTGCCCTAAATTTTTTTTAAGATTGGAAAGCTTTGCTTGAAATGTATTTGTGTTTTTCAGGTCAGCAGGACAGAAGGTCCAGGACTGTTACTTTTACCAGATTTTCATGGACAAAAAGGACAAGGTGGGAGTTCCCACCATCCAGCAGCTCCTGGAGTGGTCCTTCATCAACAGTGACCTCAAGTTTGCAGAGGTGAATTTCATTTGGTTTAAACTTGTTGTTATAAAACATTAGCCTGAACTGATAAGTAAGATTTGTGATTTTGATTCAGGCTTGTTTGGCACTGTAATTCCTAGACTACAGATTACCACACAAATCTTTGAAATAGATCTGGATTATACAAAACAAGATGTTCATTGATACCAAGAGGGGACATTTTAGTAGGAATAGGATAGAGAATAGTGGCAAATCCACAAATAACAAACACAGTGTACAAAAACTAAAATAATATCAGTAGAAATATACAAACTACCCAATTTAGGCTACAAAAATACCCCCATGCTCAAAGTTTTGCACCCCACCTTCATGTTACATTTCAGTAATAATTACTATTGTACTGATTACAATCTGTGCCAGCAATCATTCATCAAGTGTTCCAGAAACATAATGCAACATGTAATGCGACTGTAATGTTATCTTTAGATTATGGATATAAGCCACTTTAAATCTTTGGGTATTAATGGCTGTTGTAAATGTAGCATTTTTATATAGAACAGTCAGAAACAGTCCTCAGGAGAATGTAAATAGAGGTATAGACAGAGCTCTACATACTTCTGAATGGCTTCAGGGTATATGGCTTTGGAAACAAAGTTTGAATCAATTATTTGATCTGAAAACACACCAGGTCTTTCTCTAGCCTCACATGTTTGTAACAATTCTCTTTTGGGAATATTGATCATTCAAAAAGTACTTTTTTTTTCTCAGCACATGCGTATTTCCTTTCCCAAATCTAAGCTGAAGATCAATTTTTAATTATTAATTATATATATTTTTTAAAGATTATTTTTGGGGCTTTTTGTACCTTCAATTGAGAGATAGGACAGTGGATAGAGAGAGAGTGGGGAATGAGATGCGAGAAAGGAGCCACCCGCTTGGAAGATTATAGCCTCCATATATGGGGCGTGCGCACTTAACACTGCGCCACCAGCGCCCCCACTTACTGAAGTTTTGATTGTTTTAGTATCGACATGCATAGGGACTTAGGGAAAATGGGAATAGGGGCCTTCTTCTGTCCCGTCTTTCTTACCAACTGCCAGAAGGATCAACCCCACAGCGACAAATATGTCTTAACTGTTACTGTCTGTAATTTGTTAGATATAAAGTACCCTCTTAAAGCTTTGTAAGAAGCCTTCGTCCATAGGTCTCAGTTCCTGTGTTCACTGAGATTGGCTGATACTGCCTTGTTGACATAAGTTTTCTTTTTCTGTTTTGCCTGTATAACCCTTCCCAGGCTCCCTCCTGCCTTATCATCCAAATGCCCCGCTTCGGCAAGGACTTCAAAATGTTCAACAAGATTTTCCCCTCACTAGAGTTAGACATCACAGACCTTCTTGAAGACAGTGAGTTGAAGCTAATATTTTTTTTCTGGATGTTTTTTTGTTGATCAGACTTGATTCAGATCTGTGTGACATTTGTTTTTGATATCCCTGATACTCCCTGTCACTGATACTCCGCTGAGATGAAGTAACTTTCTTGTTTTCAAACTTACTCTTGACATATTTGATGAACTATATGTTTATGTTTTGTGTCAGCCAGAATAAAGGGTTTATGTTTTTATTATCCAGCACCCAGGGAGTGTCGGATCTGTGGAGGCCTGGCTCTCTACGAGTGTCGAGACTGTTATGAGGACGGGGACATTACAGCTGGCAAGATCAAACAGTTCTGTGAAAAGTGCAATACACAGGTAAACAAAAGAGGGCGTTATTGCAACACCAGTCCAACAAAAACGTAGCTGTAAAGTCTAAGTCTAAACCGCCCACTTGGTGGCGCCAAAGCCAAAAGAATCAAACTGTTTCAGAGCAGAAGTTCAGTTGCAGGAGAGTTGATTCCAAAGTAGGTTATTAGACATGTTCTGTTCCTTTCATCTAGCAGTACTCTGTACTGGAAACGAAACACAGATTAACTTATTTCTAAACCCCTATGTGGAAATACAATATTTTCTTACTGTGACTTGAAATATGAATGTGTATGACAATTGTTTAAATGATATTACTTCATCTTAAAAGACCGATTCCATAAGCAGTCTATGATGCAGTGTTGGCCTGCTTGTACTGATTTAGGTCCACCTCCACCCGAGGAGGAAAACTCATCGGCACGGCAAACTGTCTGTCCCTAAGGAGCTGCAAGACGGGATGGGGCGGCAGGGCAGTTATCCCCGCCAGAGGATGGAGCTGTTCGCTGTGCTGTGCATTGAAACCAGTCACTATGTGGCCTTTGTCAAGTACGGCAGTGCAGATTCTGCCTGGCTCTTCTTCGACAGCATGGCAGACCGTGATGGTAGGTGTCATGGTCTTTTAAGGCTGTTATAGTTTTGACATCAAACTGATCCTTGACCTGAATTTAAGTACAGAGAAGTTGTTTCAGTACCACAAATGGTATTATAGTAAGAAATACATACATATATAAAGATACAATGTCCCAATGATTTGAGATACACAAAAAGATTATACAGATGATTTCCCGATTTCTTTTATTAGTTGAGTAATTGTTTGATCAGTCACATTTCTGGATTTAGTCAACCATTGGTCTGCCATTTGAAATAACCTGAAGTCACTATAAGAACTACTTGATATAGTGTTTGACATCATTGCTTGTTAAAATAATGTGCTCATTCAATCATCACAACAGTTTGTCATTATTTTATGTTGATCAACCAATTGAATATCAGCTAAATGTTAATTGCGGGATTTTTGTAAAAATGTTTTGATTAAAGTCGGAACATTGAACAACACCAGAAAGAATTTCAAACAGCTCTACAGTCATATCTGCCTTTGGTAACTTATGGGAAACGCTGTGAATTATGTTGTGAATATGGCTTTGCTGATTAATAAACATGTCGTTTGAATGATGGCTCGTGTGTCTTTGCAGGAGGGCAGAATGGTTTCAACATCCCCCAGGTGTCTCCTTGTCCGGAGGTGGAGGCCTACCTGAAAATGACCCCGGAGGAGCTGCACGCCCTGGATCCTAAGAGCATCCAGGGCCAGGCCCGACGCCTGCTGTGCGACGCCTACATGTGCATGTACCAGAGCCCAACCATGAGCCTGTACAAGTAGAATCCTCCTCTCCCCCAACCCCTCCATCCCTGTCCCTCAGCCACACCACCTCCCCTTCTCCCACGGCAGGAGATTCCCAGAAAGACCAAAAATGAAAAATAAACTGAAAGAAGAAAGGCTGCCAGCTAGCAGGGGTGCTGTCTGGAGTTAGCCCCCTACTCCACCTCTCCTCTATGCCTGCTCTTCAGAGGGTGGAGAGATGGAAGAGAAGGGAGGGAGAAGCCTATTTGCACTGTGCATTAGTTGAAGTGTTGTGTTCTTCATGTATAGTCCTATGTAGCTTCCCTGTGTCTCACAGCTGAGCATCTGTGTTGGCTGATGAAGCAAAGGTATAGGCCTTATGACGGTTCACTCCCTGTTCAGGGAGGAAGGGGGTAGAAGATGCGAGGGAGGGTATATTCGCTTCGCCACGCCAACAGACATGTGCAACAGAAACAAAATGAGCTAGTGGGAGGACCTCGGTCACCTCATTTACCTTAAGAAAAGAGGAGTTGTGCTATTCTTAATCACTGTAAGAGTCGGGAGCTTTTCATAATGCCACATTAAGGAAGCAACGGAGTGCACAAAATCCTCATCCAACATGTGTGTACTGTTCTAAAAACTTGTGTAAAAACTCTTAGTAGCATAGATTTCTCCAGGTAGTTACAGCAACAGTATAGATGTCAACCTACTGTGCATTTGCATTAAGACCAGAGTATTCTGCTCTTTGTGAACTGGTTTGCATATTTCCCATCACGCTGTTTCATTGTCTATACAGTACATGTTTTGCAGAAACAGATGTAGCCATTGTAAAAGTCTCACGTTCTGCTGCATACTCGCTCGACCAATGCTGCACTTTTTGCTCTATCCCCGAGTGGACCGATCAGGAAACATTTAGGTTTTTGCTTCTTTTCTTTTTTTTCTTTCTCACATTGGAAGCCAGAGGGAGTGCTAATTTGTAGGTTGGGAGACATCAGAGTTTTGTGTTACAGAATACAAATGTGCTTCTTTTCTGTAGCTGTAAAGAACGCTCTGCATTGCTAATGCAGGTTAGATGCCAGATAAATGCATGAAGGGAGACTTGTACAATGGCTCCTGTTGTAGAGCTGTTTGGTGGAGCACTCTGTGCATTCAAAGGGTCAACGAGGTGAAATACTGGAAAAGTCTGGCTGTTTCCTTTAATAAGGGACAGTATGATGTTTCACATTAAGTGTTTTTTTTTTTTTTTCAAGACTCCTGCTAATGACTAAATTTAAATTATATCTTATGTTTACAAAGCCTTTTTCTCTGCCAGTCAAGGCAAGTATTGACTCTCGCTGCCTTCCATGAAGATGTGACATGCAATGTTTCCAGCCACACAACACATAACAACAAATTGTGATCAAATATTATTATTTATTATATTCTAATCATATTACAAACGCCTGTGTCGTCCTTTTTTTTTTAAGAAAATGAATCGGGGCTGATTATACTGACCTGGGTACTGCTTGTCCTCTTCCACTGTATAATGAAGTGAGTTATTGTAGTTTACGCTCTCTCATAGCAACTACTGAATGTTAATAGTGACATGTTGAACAGTGTAGAGTTAAAGGACAGGATGAGGACAAAAGGCTTGGAACCTTTGGTAACCACATACAAATATATATGTATAAAAACATTAAGAAAATATTTATCCTTGATTGATTAAACAGTACATAAAGCCTAAAGATCATGTTATGGATCGAGACAAAGCATTAGTTTTTTATATATCACATATAATTAGATGAAATCAACAAACTGCACAAGTTGGCATCAGCATTACACATCGTTTTCCTGCATCACAACTGACTCATGGATTCTGTTGTGAGTATTAACAAACTTATTAGGGTTTTATAAATGCAGTTCCAGCTGGCAGATCCCATTTTGCTCTGTGGTGGTTTCCTCTGTCAAAGGGATCCTGACAGGAGACCTTCCTGTGTGAGTGAACTTTTTTTCTGCACTGCTGAAGCTTGTAACTGACTGGAGCCTTGTTCTCTGGGAGAGAATTCTCAGAACGGAGGATGGGACTTTTATTTTCTGTTGCATCTGTACAGTTGACATATGTAACAGGTGGAAACTTAATGTCAGTGATGTTCCTGTCAATGTTAACAAAATAAAGCCCATTTTGAAGGCATGTTGTGAGTGTTGTGACAGCAGATCTGGCTTAACTTGTGTGGGACAGTGGATCAGCTTCAAGGGTTGTCGTAAGATGCTCATCTTGCAGAAGCCTTGAGAGTGGTATCAGAGAAAGGTAAGCATATTATTTATATTTATTATTAATGTAGTATGGTTTGGAGAGTATTTGAACAACATCAATGGGGCAGGGGTACTATGGAGTGTAGGAAGTAAGTATTAAAAATAGAATAGAAAGCCTTTATTTCTCCTCATCTACAATGAAATTAGAAATGCTTCACCTTAACGTGCACAGACATACACGCATGACGCATCCACTATCTGACTACAAAATGATCCATGCGATATTGAAATGATTGTTACTTTGACTGCTTAGTTAAGCACAAACCTTGAACATGACATGTTTTGTATGGAAAATAAAAACAATATGTTTAATCTAAAGTGATAAAATGCCTGTTGAAAGTGCTCTACACTTGGGTTGAGGATGTCTGAGAAACGTAAGCATTGGCTCTCCATTCTTTCTTCTTAACATCATTATTAATGCCATTATTATTTTTATTTATTTTACTTGGATTCTGTTTTAGGAAGTCCTTGTAAAAGCAAGCCCTCATGGTGTTTTTTTCCCTTCATGTTTAAAGTGTGTATCCAACCCTACAAACACCTGATTCTCTGCTGATAGGATTACAAGGATCAAGCCTAATTTGGGCTTCTGTCACAGTGATCATCCACCAACTTGTAAACATACAACAACAATATGATCACAGATTGTTATGCTAAGAGGAGGATGAGAAGAATTACAGTAAGTATATTCTGTTTTGACCACTTGGTTGGCTTTAGTCTTCTATCTGGCCTATATGCTTAGATTAAATCCACATCCAGTGACCCAATTCCCCAGACAATGTCTGAAGAAATGATACCGGGGGATAAATCAACATGTATTAAACATGAATCCACCCCACAGGAAGCTCTGTCCACACCTTACCTACACCGTTTAGTTTTAGTCAAACTTGAAACCAGCTTAGCTAGCTGACTTTAGAAGTGCCAGATAAGTATTTGTCAACAGAACAGCTGGCACACAATGCCCTCTTGTAGCTTTATGCCACAGCATATGCCAGCCGCTCGTAGCGTGTGGTAATTTAGCCAGGGCTGGTTCTACATGAACAGATGGGCTCAAGTATTGTTATTCTCTCTCCAGCTCAGGGCCCCTGGGGGGAATCACTAAATAAAATCAAAGCAGATGGACCTCTCTGGGCTAGGCTGTGTTTATGATAAACAGCCAGTACAACCAGTGTCCGTCTTAACACCTTTACCCCACCCACCTAACAACTAACAGGAAACAGAATTACAGTAGTTGAACCTCACCTGTACTGGGTTTCTTCTCTGCATTCACCCAAACAGCAGGCAAACCCAAACATACAGAAAGCAGGATGTACATTATGACTGTATCTATTCTTCAATCATTTCTATGCACCACAACACGTCCTCTTTTAGCCTCCTGACCTTAAACTGTAAAAATCTCTCAAAACAAACGCTCTCATTTTGTTGATGGTTCATAAATATTTTACTTTCCTGTTCTTTCTCACTAACAGAGGACTGTTTTGTTCTTTTATAACCGTGTCAACATTTTCACTGCTGTGGTTCTCACATCAGTGCCATGGACGCAGGCCTGGGTGGCACTACGGTCACAGTAAACACCATCTCACAAGGTAATAATGCGCCCGCTCCCTCCCTCCCTCACAGTTGTTATACAGTACATGGGAATGCTGGACAATTCTCACTTTGCACTGAAATCCTGATTTGCGTTCATTCCCATGGGAAAAGACGCCATTAAACAAAGGAATCCTATCAGGGCTGCAGGAAGGTAAATGTTTAAGGCCATTAAGACAACAGGAAAGCGGTGATTTCCGGCACTAAACATGAAAAAGAGAGGAGGATGAACACTTTTAAGCCAATCAGTCCTAATTCAATATACCACTTAGGTGTTGTTTTAACTCCATCATGATAACCAGCTTTATTAAGTGTCTTCAAAGGTCACTTTCTGATGAAGTCCAAGGAGTGTAATCAACCTAAATGTTTACAGCCAAAAGTATTAACTCAACAGTTAGTCACTGTGAGCCATCTACAAATCTGTCTTTTGTTTTTTTCTTCAGGCCTCACCAGACATTTATTATTCATCATTACACACATTGTTTTTTCTGTGGACACATGCCCCTCCAAAATAACGCTCAGTCAGACATTAAGACTATCTGTCTATTTTATTTACCAGAAGAGGGATACAAGTGCCGCCGGCTGGAACATTTTCAGGGTGCTAAAGAAGTGTATATTTCAATCCCTTTTGAATGTTGTCACTTGTTATTTTGAAGCAGTGGATGCACCAAGCTCTAAGTAAGACACTATTAATAATATTTATTTAACTTATAATAACTTTAAATTAAAATGTGTCTAACTACTGTCTATGTATGAAAGGTGATAATGTTAATGGTGGCATTTATTATTTTATTTCATGTGGAGATTATCGTCTTGAAATAACATCTTTTTTGTTGTAAGGAGAAAACGGTACTTAACTGATATTCTGGTTCATCTGATCCCAAATACTTTCAGCCCTTAAGTTCATTACCCTGACCGCCAGGGAGGAGTCATAACTTAATAGTTTGATGTGATGATAACCATCAAAGCTCCTTGATCATGTAAAATACAAGTTTAGTTTACATCAGCTAGTTAGTCGCCATATATGCATCCTAGTCTGACTCACCTGATCTGATAAACATTGGAAAAATCCTGAAATAAACTTTTTTACTGTCGTAACATGTTGATCATTTCAAAATCACAAAGTTAGTAATCTTTATAAAACAAAACATTGACTTGTGACCTATAGATAAAATCACTAAACAAACAATTGCAATCACAGCCGTTCACAGCTAAGAGTTTCTGAGAAACATTATTATACGTTAATGAGATACAGTAAGAGGATCCATATAGTTTATTTTACCCATAAAATGAGAAATTACTAAATGTATGATTAAATTAAATGTACATTTGTATACATCTACAAAACACATAAGTCCATCTTCCACATTTACAGAAAGGACCCTGGCCGCTTTGATGAAGCATTAATTGCCTCTAAAGCAAAAGCTACCAGATGTTGTTGCCCCTAAGAACCAGGTGTGGATAAATTGCATATGCAGAATGTGTGTAAAATATTTAAAGTCGTATCTTTCACTTAAGGTGTGAAGTGTTTTTATTGCCCATCACTGCTTTGAGTACAGCGGAAGGAATGGCCGGCAGCCCCCCTGGGCCCACCATGCTGGGGCTCAGCACCTGTGGTGTTAACACTGCGGATGGATGAGGCTTGGCATGGCAGTTTGTTTGGGTGTGGTTGGTGCATGGGTTGAGGGGGAGTGTGTGTGTTTGGGGGGGTAATCCACCTGTTCACCCTCTAATTCCCTCCTGATGTCACCTTTAACACTACATTATTTACAGGTGCTCTGTGGATGGAGCCACAAGCTGCTGTCTGCTTTAAATATGGATGCTTTTCGCTCTCTCTCTCTCTCTCTCTCTCTCTCTCTCTCTCTCTCTCTCTCTCTCTCTCTCTTTCTCTCTCTCTCTCTCTGTGTCTCTTGTATTATTGCTTATAGTTTTAAAAAACGGAAACAGTTATACCATCCAATTTAGCACACTGGTTGACATCCACATCCAGACATGTTCAACACTCTAAAACCTGAAGTGTATATTTATAAAGTACTAATCTGTATCTACTTTTGTCAAAACCTTTTAGATTTAGGTTTAGATGGTAAGACTACCTTTTTGCTAGCTTGTCATCCTTTAACAAACAGTGCAGATGTGGTTCTAAGCAGCAGCAATGTTGTAATATGTGTTATCGTTTCAAAATTGAATTGAAAGGTGTAGTTTTGTCAGTTACACAGAAACCAATGTCGTATTTTTACACTCCCAAAGGTAAAGGTCATGGAGAATATATTTGGCATGCTAGCTGATAGGAGTCACCAGGTAGCTTAACTAAGGTAAGCTAGCTGATGTTGCATTTATGCCTCACCGTCTCTATAATCACTACTTTTATAACAGGTGATGATTTGAAAATAAGGTGTCATTGTGAAAGCTTAGGCTACAATAGTGTATAGCTCAGTCTAGCTGCTGAAACCCTCAACTTTACTGTGGTGATCCACCTTCACTGCTTTAACATTACTTTTCAACAGGAAAAAGTTAGAAAGTAGCTGGTAAAAGAGTTAAAGCAGCTAATTCATATTGAGTATTGGACGTACTTCTGTCAGGTGGACACAAACACAACCCCAAATAAAAGATAACATTTCTGTTCAACTATAATGTAGATCTTATGTCAATGGAATGATCACAACTTAAAAAAAAAAGATAAGATAAGATTGTTTTTATGAACTTGTGAAAAATGTAATCTTTCAAAAATGTATGTTTTTTTTTTACAGGGCAACTGTGATTTGAGTGCTGGTTGTTTCCCTCTGCAAACTTTTGCATCTGTGGTCATCAACCCATAGGACTGTCAGTGTCTCTTCCACTTGGATTTTCTCAGTGCTGTAAGACAACAAGCATATTATCAACTGTAAATCATTTCCCCCCAAAGGTAAAGTAAAGTGTTACACATAAATGCCAGGTGTGGATAACATATTTACAAGATGTTTGATTATAAGAGCACATGTTCTTGGTCACAAATCAAATAGACTGTTTCATAATCTACATACGAGCGCCACCATCCACAGTATTGAGTACAAAAAGACTGTATGGGTGAGATTAGGCTAAATAAAGAACGTCCTGTTGCCTTCATCTCTGACCTTAAACAATCTGGCTCACTATTACGTCTCACAAACAATGGTCTGTTTGGACTGATATGTTCAAAGTGATATGTAAGCCTAGTTATCTGAAGCAAATAATCATGCGATGATCAAAGGCCAATGAAATGATAAGTCTGAGGGGAACTTATGCTGAAAGAACTGAGCTTTTTTAGAGAGAAAAACA